GCTGGCGGAGGAGAGCCAGGGGACCCCTCACCCGTGGCCACGGGCCGCTGTTCCTCCCCGTCCTGCAGGCAGAAGGCTTTCTTGAGCAGGACAATGCGGTGCTGCAGCAGGTCCCCGATGTACTTGACCACGGTTTTCTTGTCCAGGTTAAACACCCTCAGCCAAGCGAGCTGCGAGGCCATTCTCAGGAGGATCTCCAGGAGCTCCTTCAGCCTCAGGTGTGCCGGTGGAGGCAGATCAACCCCTGCCAGCCTGCAGAAGCGGGCGAGGGTGCAGGAGAGGCGGGCAGGGGGGGGCAGGGACCGCCCGGCGCAGAAAGGTGTGGCCTGACGATGGGCACGGGGTGCCGGCCCGTCACCAGCCACGTCTCACTGGCCAGCTCCACTATCTGCAGTGTTCTGGCCACCACCTTCTCCTTGTCCTCCACAAACGGGGCAGGGATGTTGGCTGTGGGCTGGAAGAGCTGAAAGCTGGAAAAGCAAAGAACCCATGGCCAGCATCAGCACATGGGGGAGCTGCACCACCTTGCTTCTGCTCGTGCCACCCAGCCAAGGGCCACATTACCCTCTCCAAAGTGGGGAGAAAGGGGCAGGAAGAGAAGAATCACAGCCCAGACTGTGCCAAGGGAGGCAAAGAAGCCATCACAGCCTGTAAAAAGCCCAGCACACATGTGGGACATCAGCCCCACGCCACCAGCAAGCCCCTGTGCTGCCAATGTCCACCTCTGGGCTGCTCTGTTGTACCATGGTTGACCAAGACCACCGTGAAGTTTGTCCTTTGGTGAAATCAACAACACAGCTACAGTGCAGTAACTTCATCCCAGAACATCGCTCATAACCTCTTACAGAAAGAGAGGAATTTCCTCAATGCTGTGGCTGTAACCAGCCCTGGGGTTTAGTTCTGCACTGAAGCATTTGTTGTGCCTCAGGACCCAAGTCAGACAGAGCAGGCTGGGCTCAGTGCTGGCAAAACAAGAGTAGTAACTATTTGCTTACTAACAGTCTTACTCCGATGCTTTAGAACATAACATGGCTTTAACCTGCCAGAGGGGAGGTTGAGATGGGCTCTTAGGCACAGGCTCTTCCCCGTGAGGGTGCTGAGGCGCTGGCACAGGGTGCCCAGAGAAGCTGTGGCTGCCCCATCCCTGGCAGTGTTCAAGGCCAGGCTGGACACAGGGGCTTGGAGCAACCTGCTCTAGTGGAAGGTGTCCCTGCCCGTGGCTTTATGGATGAGCTTTAAGGTCCCTTCCAACACAAACCTTCCCATGACTCTATGATGCTCTGACATACCTGTGCAACAGCGCAGGTCTCCCTGCCTCTGCCTGTGGACTCTGCCCTGGGCAGAAGCTTTGCCACGCACCAGCACCACACACAGGACCCTGGAGTGGCTGGAAGGGGCCCTGTTACCTGTTCAGGTGGCTCTTCACCAGATCCGCCAGGCTCAGGGCAGGCACAGAGAGCTCCAGCTCCTTCTGGAGGCTCAGGAAGACGCTGGCAAACAGCTCCTGCTTCGCGTACAGCAGCGAGCAGATGGTGCCCATCGTCAGGGGCCAGTTGTGCTGGCGACAGGTCACGAAGACGCAGCAGCCCCCCAGGAGCTCCTTCTTCTCCAGGCTGAGCAGATGGAAGCAGGGGTGCTGCAGGGCTCTCTGCACGTAGGACACTGCTGTCTCCTCAAACAGCGCCGGGAGCTGCAGCACCTTACAGAGATCCTGCACCCGCCTGATGCCTGGGAGAAGACACAGCCCGTATGGATCAGCTCAAGCAGCTTCTGCTACATCCCTCATCAGTAGCATTCACCCAGGCCCAGGAGAAGGCACAAGACGCACAGCCCCTGCTGTGCACATGCATCCCCCTTAGTGCAGATGCTGACCTGCCTTCTGCATGCGCTGCTGCCAGCTCTGGAGGCTTTTACCATCCAGAGAGCATTAGGAACACCTTCAACTAGAGCAGCAGCAATAGGAACACCTTCAACTAGAGCAGCAGCAATAGGAACACCTTCAACTAGAGCAGCAGCAATAGGAACACCTTCAACTAGAGCAGCAGCAATAGGAACACCTTCAACTAGAGCAGCAGCATTAGGAACACCTTCAACTAGAGCAGCAGCAATAGGAACACCTTCAACTAGAGCACACGTGGTGTGAGAAGGCAACTGGAGGACCTGCTCTTACCTCGCTGCAGGCAGCGGCTCAGTTGCTCCTTCTGGCCAGTGCTCTGGGAATATGCCACCTCTGGAAAACAGGCAGTGTTAGGCCAGCCCACCCTACAGGGACCCTGGGGACAGTGTCAGCACCATCTGGGGCCCGGCGCTGGAGCTCAGCGGTCAGAATTGAGGCCGCTGAAGCAGCGCTGGCAGCGCAGAGTAGGTACAGGAGAGGTGCAGGATCCCCTTTGAGCCACCGCTTCTACCCAAACGGAACCAGTGAAGGGCCTCGGGGCTTCTCCACTGCAAGGGATAGAACGTGGCAGGTTTGGCTTATAATGGAAAACCATGCTGGTTCTCTGCTTAGGGAGGGAGGAAGGGGGAGGAAGGGGAAGGAAGGGAAAAGAAGGAGAAAGAAGGGAAGAAAAGGAAGGAAGGGAGGGGAGGGAAAGAAGGGAAAGCTGAGAAAGAAGGGAAGGAAGGGAAGGCTGAGAAGGCAGGGAAAGAAGAGAAGGAAAGGAAAGAAGGGAAAGAAGGGAAGGAAAAAAAGGAAGGGAAAAAAAGGAAGGGAAGAGAAGGGAAGGAAAAAAAGGAGGGAAAAAAGGGAAGGGAAGGGAAGGAAGGGAAAGGAAGGGAAGGGAAGGGAAGGGAAGGCAAAGCAAGGCAAGGCAAGGCAAGGCAAGGCAAGTCTAGGCCAGTCTTCTGTGACAGAGAAAGGGAGGGGAAGGGAAGGGAAGGGAAGAAAAGGAAAGGAAAGAAGGGAAGGAAGGAAGGGAAAAAAGGAAGGAAGGAAGGGAAGGAAGGGAAGGATAGGAAAGGAAAGGAAAGGAGGGAAGGAAGGGAAGGAAAGAAAAGGAAAGGAAAGGAAAGAAGGGAAGGAAGGAAGGGAAAGAAGTGAAAGAAAGGAAGGAAGGGAAGGAAAGAAAGAAAAGAGGGAAAGAAGGCAAAAAAAAGAAGGAAGGGAAAAAGGGAAAGAAGAGAAGGAAAGGAAGGGAAGAAAGGGAAAGAAGGGAAAGGAAGCGAAGGGAAGAGAAAGGAAGGGAAGGGAGGGAAGGGTAAAGCGGCCGGACCA